TTTAGGGGTTGAGGGTTTAGGGTACTTGGAGGATCATGGGACTTAGTAAGTAAGGTTATAAGTCCCATAATTGGGGCTTATAAGTATAGTCACCTCAGTTATAAAACCCTAAACCCTAAACCCTAAACCCTAAACCATAACCCTACTTACTAAGTCCCCAAGATCCTTTAAGTGGTGATGGCTTTCCTGAAAACCTCTGGATGGTTTCAAGGCGTCTCCCCGAGGTCTCCTCTGCAAATCCGCCAAGCAACCAGTAAACCTTCGACGACGGCGCCATCAAGTTCGAGACCCTGTCACGAAACACAAGCCACGAACCCTAACCCTAAACCCTAAACCCTATAAGCCCTAAGCCCTAAACCCTAAACCCTAAAAACCCGAAATCCCATCAGCCCTGAGCCCTGCAACCTGTCAAGCCCCCTGAAGCTCAGGATTCGCTTGGTGCGTATCGTCAAAATCTTCCGCATCAGGTTTATGAAAGACCTGCGGCTTATGGCAGCCTGTCAGGAGCAAGAGGAAGTTGTTTGGGTTTAGGGTTTAGGGTTTAGGGTTTCTGGTTTTGTTGCGCCTAGTTATGGTGTGTCGCTTGGGCTGCCTAGTGCTCTGAGTAGTAGGTCATGGAGGCCACTTGTGTGTTCGCCCTTGCTTGTTTCCCACTTTTCGTTCACAAGTTACAGGCTGACTGGCAGACACGGGTACATGACAGCTCGTGAATGAACTGCAAATAGGTGGATAAAGCATCACAGAAATTCAGCGCAACGGGCCTAAATGTTTGCAAGGATTTTTGAAGAGAGATGTACTCAGGAAAACAGCTGGCTCATGAAATTGCTTTCCGAGGAGGAATGCTGGCCATGGGACCCACAGGAGCATGCATGACAGGTGCTGCATGACAAAACTGTGTGATGTTTGTGACTCGCTGATATGCAGTAATCGAGAATCAAGCCGAGAGTTTTTGCTAGTCATCAAGACTGTCCCAAACAACATCAAGCATGATAGGGGCCTTACTTATTAGAATGGGGTTTTGGGGCCAAGTATACTATAATGATAATAAGGAACCCCCGAAAGAACATTGGCAATTATTTAGGCCCCTACATCAACCAAAATCTTGGACAGTAGCCATCCCGCGGTGTCTTGATTCCAAATCCAGCCTTTGAACATGCCGTGCTGCTCCTTCATTTCCGCTTTGATGATGGCCATCGCGAGTTGGACCGAAATCTTCGTGCGAGACGATCGAGCCCTCGTGCATGTCTTCCTGCCACCGTGGCTGGCCTACGGCCTGGATCCGGCAACGTCCTCCGCCTACATGCTCGAAGGCCTGGACTTCGTCCGCGTGAATCTCAGCGAAGAGGGAGTTCCAACATCCGCTCTGGACACGACGAGCTTCCAACATCGCAGGACAGTGATGAAGCAGAAGCTGGAAGGCCTCGCCGGGGATGTCTCCACACCTTTACGCGCCAATCTGCAAGCGGGCAGAGCCGCCATAGACGACATCCTCGGTTTCTATATAAGCCAAAGGCTACCATTCCACGGACCACGGAACCCAACCTTCTCAAACAGGCTCAGCTGGTCGTTCTCGCGCATGCCGCCGAGCCTGGCAAGCCTAAAGCTGCCTTGGGAGCCTACCTCTACGACGCTCCGGGCGGCGGGAACCGGCGCTTCTGTCCGCCTCCGGGACACAGAAGATTGGAGCTCTGGACTGGCCACATCGCCTTCTTCAACGGAGACGCCTACATCGCGGACACGTCCAACAACAGGATCCTGAAGGTCAGTCCAGGCAACTCCGCGGCTGAGATCTTCTTCGGTGTCTGCCACCGAAGAAGACCTCAGCCTCGGAGCTGCCCGGACTGACCTTCAGGATCCTGTTGTTGCCATAGCCGCGATGTAGGACGCCTACATCACTGACCATTGCAACAACAGGAGCCTGAAGGTTAGTCCGGGCAACTCCGAGGCTGACATCTTCTTCGCTGGCAAAGGCAGAGGCTCAGACCTGGACCAGCTGTACAGGCCTACAGGTCTGACTTTTTCCGACGGCAACGCCTACATCGTGGATGGTGGCAATGACCGAGCGATGAATGTCTCAAAGTCCAAGGCTCCAATCTTTGGCAAATTTGGTACAGCAAGCCGACACCCTAGATTTAAGTTTAGGTCAGCAGCTTCGAAGCTGCACTCGCCTACGTTAACCCCTGCACCGCGGAGTTAAAATCCTGCAGGCCGGAGGCTGCTTTGTGAGCCGGAGACATTCGAGGAGATTGCATCTACTGCCGAGCAACCCTGATCACTGTGGACCATGCTGGTTCGAAGGCAATTGCAGCACAGATTCGAAAGAAGCTCGAATTGACACACGCGCAAATCAGGCACTTGCCCTTGGGTGTGTCAGTGCCAACGCGGAAAGTGCTCTTTGGCACCTTGCTGTTGACTATCGCCGTTCAAGCGTTATTGCTGCAGAAAGGAGGGCAAAGTGGGGTCACAAAGCCAGACCTGACGCTCAGTCCAACACCAAATCCAGAAACCCAAGCTGCAAATATTCCTTGCGGCAGTCAAAAGAAGCAAAAAAGATCCAAGGTCTTCAAAAGGCCCGTGTCTCGGGACAGTCCACCTACTGACTCAGTCGCTTCATCGTCAGAGCAAGGTCAGCTGCCAAACCCGGCCAGACCACAGCAGAAGCTCGGGCCGTCGAAATTCTAGTTGCCTGAGCCCTACACGCCGATACCGTCCGAAACGCCTCAACCATACGCAAGCATTTGTTACTGGTAAGTCTTGGAGTTGAAGCATCAACCTAAGACACGTAACTCAACAACTGAACTGCTGAACCTAAAAATGCGGTAAACAAAGCCTGCAACAACAACGCTGCTCGAGGAGCCGGCGCGAACCTTAAGCAGTTCTGTATCTTGTTGGGTCCGGCGCTCTGTCCTTAAGGTTTGTTTTCCGTCGTCCGGAGTTCTTTTTTCGGTTACCAGAGTATGCGAACCACAATCGTTACTTTGCGGCAGACCCCCTTTTTGGCATTTTAGATTCCGCAAACCACTCGGAACTTTGTAAACCCCTGGTCAAAGTCCGAAATACCGTCTGAATCCACATGGGTGGTTGTCAAAATTATGGCCCCTTTATGGGCACCCTAAATATTAGGCGCCGTATTATGTTGAGGACCCAAGAAGGGACCCCCACTTTTGACAGTCACTCACAGAAGACCTTTGAAAAGCCCCAGGTCAAGGGCTTGCTTGCGGGCATCCGGACACTGGCATTGGCTTTTGTGCTTCTCTTTGCGGTGTTGTACGTGATTTCAGGCAGGGGGTGCTTGGTTCAGCACTTAGGGTCTAGGGGTCCGGCGCAAGGCAGCTGCCATAGGATTTAAGGTTTGGGGGGGTTTAGGGTTTAGGGCATTTAGGCGATTGCACAAGTCCTGATGCAAAGAAAGGGGGGTCAGGGTGCTTTGGGAACTTAGACAGTTTTGTAGGGCTCATTGCTTTTGTTTGGGCAAGTGTTGCTATAAGGTTTTGCGTGTGGCTTCTATGGGCGGATTTTATATGAAGTCTATAAGGCGTTCTTTTGTTGCTCGGTGATTTAGTAGTACAACAGGGCTTCTTGGGTTTACTTTCAGGTGTAGCAGCGAGGTTTTCTATGTAATACTGAACCTGGTATAATCTCTCACAAAAGTCTTGGGGGTTCCTAATATAATAACCCTAAACCCTAAACCCTAAACCCTAAAAGTGTAGTATGAGATACCCGAAACGTGCACACTAGAGTGTAAAAAGCTCTTGGGCCGGTCCTTTCGGCTGCCCTCTTTGCAGGTTCTCGTTTTAGGGTTTAGGGGTTAGGGTTTTGGGTTAAGGGTTTCGGGTTTAGCCGACGTTCCTCTGGCCGTTTCAGCTACCGCGCACCGACAACTCCCATTCATTCACGCCGGGAATCCCTCCGGGGCTGTGGACGTGCAGTGGACGTAAAGGTAGTTGAAGGGCGCAGAAGCAAGTTTAGGGTTTAGGGTTCAGGGTTTAGGCACAGAACGACGATGAAAAATACATCAGACGAACGAGACGTCTACTCGAACCAGCCAGTGTGCTGTCATTAATTTGGTAGCCTCGCATTCGGTTGCCCCTTGTGTGTCTCGAACACATCGCGTGGGATTTAATTCCTGGGCATCTTTTCATTTCGAAAGCTGTCTGGTTCTCCAAAGGGCCCGACCCTCTAAACGAGCAGCAAACAGATACCCTAAACCCTAAACCCCAAACCCTAAACCGTTCACCACGGACCCATGGCTGACAGGTTGATGTAAGGTCTTTTGTGCGTTTGCCGGAGAGGGTCGCCTGCAAAGCGGTCCACGGAGGGGACGGCGGACGGGTGAAGGGCTTTTTGCAGCGAGAGAACCGAAAGATAACAAAACATGCAGCTCAGTTATCTCAATCCTCGAGTCGGGAAGCCCTATGAACCCTGAATCCTGAAGCCAAACCTTTACCCGGCACATCCCTAAACCCTAAACCCTAAACCCTAAACCCTAAACCCTAAACCCTAAACCCTAAACCCTAAACCCTACACGGTTTGGGCTTCAGAGTCCAAAGCAGGCTTCTCCGCCATGACGATCGGCAGCCACTATGGCGACACGTTTCTCGATGACGAGAACACCCTGGTTCCCTACTTCAGGAGCCCGGAGCCTCTCTGGGTCAGGGAGTGATACGGTTTAGGGTTTCAGGGTTTTGGGGTTTAGGGTTTCAGGGTTTAGGGTTTCAGGGTTTTGGGTTTAGGGTTTTGGGGTTTAGGGTTTCAGGGTTTAGAGTTTCAGGGTTTAGGGTTTGGGGTTTAGGGTCTAGGGAGTGATGCACGGGCCTCAGTAACTTGGAGCATTATTATCTGTTAGGCTTCCATAATATGGTTATTGTGCAGGAATCCGCAAAACCCTACTCTAATATTGAGGCCCCTATATTATCATGCGTATTACTTACAGGCTCAACGACTTAATCAGCAAGTAGGTCATGAGCAAAGCTAATTGAGGACCTAATCCAAAGGCCCAAGACTTTTTCGGCAGTATCCTGCTTATATAATCATAATATGACATACCTCAACACCCTATTCTGATTCTTGAGGCCCTCATATTGCTCACTAGAGCCTCGTTTTCTAAAGGCTGGTCCAGGGCTTATAGGCTACTTATAGGGTGTATGGGTTTAGGGTATCTGCAGGGTTGAGAATTAAAGCTTTAGGGGCTAAAGTTTTTTATGGCTTTCGGCTTTGGTGGCCATGGGTTTGAGGCTGTCCCAGGGTTTGAGCATTACCAGTTCCTGCTGGAATAAGTCGCACTGAATGACTCTTGGCTTTATCTAGCTGTTGGAGGCATTGGGTCAAGCACTTTCGGCTCGGGGTAGTCGGCCTGTTTGTATGCGTGTTGCGGAGCCATCCGGCATCGTATCCTGACCAACAGCTCTTTCCGCATGAGGTTTCGCAAACCCCGCACGCCAAACCGTGCCACTTTGGTTGTAGGGAGTTCTAAACCCTAAACCCTAAACCCTAAACCCTAAACCCTAAACCCTAAACCCTAAACCCTAAACCCTAAAACCCTAAAACCCTAAACCTAATAACGGTCCAGAAGCACTGCGCCCTAGATCTCCCAGACGATCCTGCCTGGCATTGGCAGATGTTCCACCCGCTTTGGGTTCAGGGTTTAGGGTTTAGGGTTCAGGGTTTAGGGTGTAGGGTTTAGGGTGTAGGGTTTAGGGTTTAGGGTGTAGGGTTTAGGGTTTAGGGTTTAGGTTCAAGTTAACGGTCCGAATCCCGTGCTTCAGGACCATTCCAGATGCAATGTTTACGGCCTTCCGATGCTTCACGGGGGAGTGTACCACTTACGCTGGTGAGCCCATCCACTATCTTCTTGCTCTCGAGTTCGGCTATCCGTTCATGTTCCTATATGTGGGCTGCTATATGCTGGTGACGATGGGCATTTTCAACGTCATTCTCGCTGTCTACGTGCCCCGGAAGCCAGCAGCAATATTGGTGTCAGTACTTACCAATTTCGGGCTTTAGGTTTGAGGATTTGGGAAGCGCAACCTTCTTTGCTTTGCCAGCCAAGCAAGGTGGACATCACCATGAAAGCAGCGAAGGAGAACGATGCCGTCAACGCCGAGCCTTCGTCGTCAAGCTTGTAATATTTCATGCCTCTTGTGCACAATATCCCAAACCCGAGCCCTTAAACCCACATATCGCTAAGGTTTAGGTATTACAGCATATTCTGGTGAGTCTAGAAAGGGGGGGTCTTTAGGGTGTTATGAAAAGGAGACCGACTTTGAGACCTTGGCCCGAATCTGCGAGGTTTGGATATCCTAGACCCTGTAAGCCACAAGCCCTACTTAAAGGATCATGGGACTTAGTAAGTAGGCTTATAACTAAGGTAACTATGCTTATAACCCCAAATAGGGGACTTATAACCTTACTTACTATGTCTCATCATCCTTCAAGCAGGTGCTTAGGTTCAGAAGGAAGCGAGACAAGCCAAAGTTCCACAAACCTCGAAGCCCCAAATTCTTCCCCAAGCCCTAAACCCTGAACCGCTAAACCCCAAACCCCTAAGCGGCGAACACCTAAACCCCTAAACCCTGAAGACCCAGAGGCCCTAAGCCCCCTTTAAGCTCGACAGTACTCCCTAAACCCAGCCGAGAACCCCTGCAGCAAACGGTTTAGGGTTTAGGGTTCAGGGCCCCAGAGTGTGAACCCTAAAGCCTTATAAGACCTCAAACAGCACTTGTTGAACCCTTTCGGTTATCACGGCCTACAAAAGCTTTTGAATAAGACCTGAAGAAAGCAGCAAGGAGCAGTATTCTCGTGAGTCGATCCGAGTTGCGAAGACCACACGCGAGCTGTTGCAGCTTGGAAGGTAAGACCCCAAACCCTAAACCTTAAGCTTGTGGGGCACGCAGGGGGTGAAGATTTCCAGGGCTTCGGGTTTAAGCTGTGGGGTTTTGGACATTTTGGTGTTGTCAGAGACCTCGATGAACAATTGACATTGAAAATAAGGGCACCCAAATGGGTTGAGTGGTCCTGCAAGGAGCCTATGGAGGCTTAGGTTTTAGGGCCGGAGGTTTAGGGCTTACAGATTCCATATTGGGTGTAGGGTTTAGGGTTTAGGGTCCAGGGTTTAGGGTTTAGTGGGTGCTTGGGATCTTTCTAGGACTGCTTGGTGTGAGTAGATGGCGTAGCAAAACAGATGGGTAGGGAGGCATCGAACTAGGCACCAGACCTAACTAAGGGTGACGGGTGTCCAGGGCTCTCTACGGGTCCGCGACGCCAAGCCAAGGAAGAAGTTCTCCGCTGCCTATCGGCTTTTTAACGACGCCTGGCATGGAATTTTGGGTCTTTGCCAGCCTTCGGGTTTTGCTGCCGGAGTTGGGAAATGAGAATCTTCAACCCTTAATGCTTGAAGCGGCAAGCCTGTAGTTTGTGTTTGAGACGGGTTGCCCTATCGAGCGTGCGAGCTAGCTGTCGGTTCAGCTTGAGGAGCTAAGCAGAGCAGTCGGTCAGGGCCAAGGGTGCTTGAGTGTCCGGGACGTCTCCAACGCAATCATTCTTCGCTATATGGTTGTTGTTGCCGCTATTGGTTTAGCTTTGAACCCTTACTCGCTAAACGCCTGACAGATCCCGGTGACATTGGCATTCACGTTTGGTCGTCAGTTCGCATGTCGAAGGCATCGCGCCTGCCACTGTGTCCACGCTTTGCGTCTTTGCACCATCTCCAGACCCCGACAACGTCGGCATTTTTGGCGTTTCGTGCGGTTTGCGTTTCGAAAACAAGGTGCCTGCCACTGCTTTAACTCGATGCAGCTACCCAGCTACCAGAGCACCCACGGCCAGCCATGATACTTAACGTCCGCTCAGGCCTCATCCGTTGTCCATATAGATAGAACTCCAGTCAGACTGCATCCGTCACCCATGGGCCAACCATGATAACGTCGGCTCAGACATCATCCGTTCCCCAGAGCACCAATGCCCGAATCCCGGTAACACCCACTCAACAACCTCATGCATCGTACCAGTACCACGGCATCCGTGCCCGAACCGCGATAAAGGGCACTGAGCCTCATCCGTCCTACCAGAGCATCCAAACCCGAATCGTGATAGCGTTCGCTCAAGAACCTCATCCGTGTGGTGCACACAGACCTCTTCCGTCATACTAGAGCGCTCATGCCCGAATGCCGGGCATAGCATCCATGCCCCAACCGCGATATCGTCTACTCCAACCTCATCCGTGACACCAGCGCATCGATGGGCCAGCCATGATAATGTCCGCTCAGACCTCACCCGCTCCCCCGAGCATCCATGCCCGAACGTTGATAGTCAAAATGTCCACGCAGATTTCGTCCGTTCCCCAGAGCATCCTTGGGCCAGCACTGATCCGCTCTCAAAGAGCTGTGAAGGGTCTCGGGCTGAGATGTCGAGGCTTCGTTGTCCTCACACGCGTCTCACCATGTCTCACCCAAAACACCTCGATGTGCCCAATACCTTGGCGTAGCGCACTATGGTCTGGTTTTTCGTGCCAGATGCCATAAGCCCGAAACTTCCCTAAACCCTAAACCCGGGACCCCTACACCCTAAACCTTAAACCCTAACCCGAGAACTCGGATGTCTTGCGCCTGCCTGTAGTCTCCTGATAATTGATAGTGATCCAGAGTACACGCGTGTAAACACAACACTGCAGCGTTGAAGCCAAGCTTTTCAGTTTGTCAGCACTGTCTCTTTCAACTGGTTTTTGATACGCGTTGTAAACATAGGGGCCTTAACAACTAGAATAGGGTTTGGGGGTATGTTATAATGACTATAGTTATAACAAGGAGCCCCCAAAATCCTATTCTAATTATTAAAGGCCCCTACTTTATAGTTCTATGTCTCCTGTTGTCAACGTCAACTTTCTGGGGCCTCGTTTTGTTCAGAAAGTCTTTTTGGCATAGCCAGTATTGGGCCGTTGTCAGATGATGGATGCTTTGGGTTTGGGCCGCTGTCAAAACATGGCTCAAGCAAGAAAGAGCTTGAGTAACGCCTCCTGAAGGCATGATCAAGCCCGAAACCCTAAACCCTGAACCCTACACCTTGAGCCGCAAACCCTAAACCCCAAAGCCCTGAACCCTAAACCCTGCAAGCCCAAAGCCCCTAAGCCCTAAACCCTAAACCCTAAACCCGAATCCCTACGACCTAAAGGACCTGGATTCAGCGAAAGACTCGAACTCCTGGGGAACACGCCTTGACTTGGGGAGAGCGGGCGTGTTCCTGGGCCACAGATTCGGCTTTACCCAGAAACGCTTTCGGAGGGTTTAGGGTTTTTGGGGTTTGGGGTTTAGGGTTTAAGGCTTTGGGTTTAGGGTTTGTGGAGAGGGCTCAGGGCTTTTCAGGCACTATCAGGGTTTTGGCGGGTTTCCGGTTTTTCCTGGTATGTGCACCAGAGCTACTGGGGGTTCAGGGTTTCGGGCCGCTTTCCCTCCCCTGAGGAGTGTAGAGACGCAGGTCTTCGGCCGTATCGCTTCTGCATGGTGTTTTTGTTGGATTGGAGAGTTTCGTGTGAGGAGTTTATTGAGTGTTGCAAAGAACGTGGATTTTACCAATGGTCATTGGTACAAAAGTGTCGCCATGAGTAGAGCTACAATGATGGTCACGCTTAGAGTCGCATGTTGCGGGCTATCATCCCGGTTGCACGCGCTTACGTTATTCTTGTGGTGAAATTGCGGTGCGATTTCTTGCGACAATGAACGGGCTCCTTCGGAGAGTGGAAAAGTTCCGAATCAACTAGGAGCGTCCATCAGCTTTAGAATCATGTCTCGCGGAATAGGGCGAGTTGGCATGGTCTCTAGTAGGGTTGTGCTTAGAGGGCCTATACTAGGCTTCGCATGGAGGTCTCTTGTACCCTGTTCTGAGTTTTAGGCAGCAGCACTGGCGTTTCTTCCTCAGTTCTTAACATCCTCAACCCGAAGCCCCTAAAAAAGACCCACAGAGCCACAGACCCACCATAAAGAGAAAGGGCAGAGCCGATGGTTTAGGGTATTCTCCTGGGATCGGAATGGCTAGTACTTGGAGGTAAGTATAGATACCTTAGTTATAACCCTACTTACACTAAGTCCCATGATCCTTTAAGTAGTAAGAGTAGCCCGTTACATGCCCAAATATGCTTATCGCCCCAAGACCCTACTCCAACATAGCACTACTTGGCGATCCCGGGTTCCAGTGGGTCTAAACCCTAAACCCCAAACGGCTACCATCCGTCACCAGCCCCAAATCCGACAATCGGCCATGGCCCCACTTCCACGGGTTAGGGTTTAGAGTTTAGGGTTTAGAGTTTAGGGTTTAGGGTTTAGATTTTAGAGTTTAGGGTTTGTCTGGGTTGCCTAATGGAAGGAAAGGAGGACTTACCCCCAACATCCTTTTCGAATTAGGAAGCCTGGGGAGTAGGGTTTATCTTAAGCGCCCCGAAGGTTCAACGAGACAGAGATGGACAAGATCGCCATCACCAAGGAGCTCTTTCTGTTGATCGTGCAAGATAGCGCGGTGCAGAAGCTGATGGATGAGCTGCTGGGTTGATGATTTGTTGTTTGGATTTGCGGGAAACCCTAAACCCTAAACCCTGGCTAAAGCTTAGCTTTCAGGAGGGGTTCAGAAGTCCAGACTCTAAGCCCTGAACCCTAAACCCTAAACCGTGGCTCTAAGCAGCTTCAGAGGCGAACAGCTTTGGGTTTTGAGGCCCAAAGCTTTGACATCCCAAGCCCAGTGATGATGAGAAGTACCCGGGACCGCACACCATGGCCCTGATACCTCCTTGTTAAGGGTTTGGGGTTTAGGGCTCAGGGTTTTAGGGGTTTAGGGGTTCAAGGGTCCTTAGGTCTCTGCGTTTTTTCGATTTGTTTCAATTTGCATAAGCAGTCCGGCCACCTTTAGCCAAATAGGGAATACCTCGGTTAAAGTACTAATAACCTGCTTTCTATCCGACGAGATGCTCTGCATTGTCTCTGAGGCTCCCGACCGCGGTCAAAGGCCCCAATCCCGACGACACTTCGCCAGGAATTCGGAATGCCCGCAATCATGAACGCTGAACCGTTGTTAAGCCCGCAACCAAGCCCCCACAACCCTACGAACCCTAGAATTCTCTGCAAAATCCTTGCAAGGCATTGCAGATCCAGATAATATCACCTCCGGCACCCTTACCTGCAGCGCACTGAAAATGTACAGCCCTTAACATAAGACCCCTCTAACACCGCATTACAATCCATAACGCACTCATAAGACTGTAGGTTGGACCTGCCCGAAACCCTGAACCCGAAACCCTAAAAAGGGAAAGCACTTTAAAAACAAAACAGCCCTAAATCTCATAAGACTGTAGGTTGGACCTACCCTAAAACCTAAACCCCGAATCTCATAAGACCGTAGGTTGGACCTGCCGCCCGACCGCGCGAATCTCTTCGAGATCATCGATGCGGACGGCAGCGGGACGCTTCAAATCACGGAGCTTCTCCATGGACTCCTCAAAATTCGAGGCCAGCCTTTTAGGGGTTTAGGGTTTAGGGTCTACGGTATAGAGTTTAAGTTTAGCCGCTGCCAACATACCGATCATTGAGAGGGCCTTCATAATTAGAACGGGGTTTTGGGGGTTCCTTGTTATAAATATACTATAGTGGGCCCCACTATTCTCGTTATTGAGGCCTCGACATTGATCAAGAGGGCTTCGTGTAGCTAACTACTTCATGTAGGGTTTATGCACGGCTTTAGAAGGCTTCCTTTGCGGCTAGATAGGGTTGCATAAAGGAGGTGTGTCTACAGTAGAGGCTTGTGCAGGCTGGATCATGGGGATCACTCAGCCCTGAACCCTAAACCCTGAGCCCTAAACCCTAAACCCCTAAACACTCAAGCGGCTTTAGCCCTAAACCCTGAACCCTTGGGTTGAGGGTTGACAGCTCGAAGTTCGTTCTGATATGGAAAAAGGGTCAACAATTAACGATCATCGATGCTGGGATCCCCAATGCTTTAGCCGTTTAGTGTTTGGGGTTGAGGGTTTAAGTTGTCTTGATCATCTTGAGGTTATGAAGATACTGACCTTCCTCGGCTGAGATGTTGAGCGGTTTAGGGCTTAGGGTTTAGGGTTCCTCAAATTGAGGGGCATCCCAGATCCAAAATCCTGCTAGCCCCAGACTCGGGGAATGTCTGTGCGATTTCGACGGCATCGTCGCCCAAAACATGACTCAAATATTATACTTTGTCCAGCAACTGCGTAATTCTTTCGATAAATCTGACCTCTTTACGACATGCCTTCTCGGGGTCTGGGACTGTCTTCTCGGTTTTCCTTTTTAAGATTCACGGTTGTACCCTCCTTGTGCCTCCGGCATTGAAGTCCCGGGTCCCCGCGATTTGGGTTTAGGGCCGTCTAGGGTTTAGGGTTTAGGGTTTAGGGTTTAGGGTTTAGGGTTTAGGGTTTAGGGACCTTTGCCCCAGACTGCTGTCCGAGGTGATCTCAGCAAGAGTGATGCTGTGGCCTCCTTGCTAGCAACTCGCGCAGTGCAGCAGATGCTCGCTGACTTCATTGCCGCTCGGATGGGAGCTGGTTTCACGTGACCCTGGAGGGACACCTGTTCATTCCCAGGGTTAGGTTCCTCTGCGAGTGCGTATAACATAGGCGCCTTAATGATAAGATTAATAGGGTTTTGGGGCCCATTATGCTTTAGTTATATTAAGGAACCCCCAAAATAGTATGGGTAATTATCTAGGCCCCTACATTAGGGCAGAGCTGGCTTTGGTTAAACTCGGTGGCACTTTGGGGAATGGTTGACCTCCGCGTTTTAAGGCCCAGGTAAGGCTTTGAATAGGAGCCACCGAGAAAATGGACACAGAAGGGTCTCACAATCAAGGGGTTCTGGTGACACCCTTGCACATATGGTTCCTTACCCTGAGTCCCAAGAACTCTAAGCCTTGAACCCTGAACTTTAAACAGATGAAAGTATACGGTTGGGACGCTTCCAATCAAAAACTTTAAACAGATGAAAGTATATGGTTGGGCCAGTCAAATCCCTAAGAAGGCTCTGGTTCGGGAGCCCGACCACGTTTTTTAAGTTGAGAGTTGAGCGTGTTTGGATTTTTGAGCGTGTCTCATTCAATTTAAGGTTGAAGTTGGTGGGTGTTTGGAATTTGTTTAGCCTTCTGAGTGTGAGGGTCTAAAACTAAACGGTTTAGGTTGGGCCCCACCCAGTAGTGGTATAGGTTTAGGGTTTAGGGTTTATAGGGTTTAGGGTTTAGGGTTTAGGGTTTAGGGTTTAGGGTTTAGGTTTTGTTTGGCTTTGTACTCAGCACACATGCCAACAGGAGCAGTAGCATAGGTACCGTAGAAACGCACGTCCGGCCTCAGCGCACCATTGCTGTACCGACTAGCTGTCTGAGGGAACCGGACATTGCCATCCAAAGGCCTGAGCCCCGGACTACATACAGTCTATAAGCCAACCCCAAACCCCCAAAGCACGACGCGCTATGCAAGGCTCAGAGCAAGCGGAGTCTTGGCTTGCATTGAAGCCGGAACCTCTTGACGACTCTCGTGACTTCTCCGATTCAAGTACCGGCCCTGTCCGCGCGCGCCGTCTATTTGCAGAATTTGCAGTTGCCACAGAACCCTAAACCCCAAACCCTCAGAGCCCTAAACCCTAAACTCGGAACCTGTGACCATGGAAAACAGATCCTGAAGCCGGAGCCTTCCATAAGCCCCGAAGGCCCCACTCCAACAGGGCCCTAAGCACATAACCCTGAAGAGCCCTAAGTCCTAACCCTGACTTCAGCACTAGTCACTAGTCTTGAATTTCTGCTCTAAAAGCAGGTCCAAGGTTAAGGGAATATCTTCAAGGAGCACACCCCTGAAAGCCTGAGACGTATGATGGTATAGTGGTCGCAGAATTAGGTCGCGACATATCCCTTTCTAGCCACTCTGTGGTTATACGATACTCTACCGCTAAAATCGCGATCTGATTATTAAGGCCTCGATACTACCCCCTACACCCTAAACTCCCTAGAGCCCCTTGTTCTAAAACATTCGTCCTTTTACAGAACTTCAATTCAGTATTCGTCATATATGTGTTAGTCACAGAGATACTTCTCTGATACACTCGTCGCTCGAGTCGTTATGCGAAATCGGAAAACACTCGATTCGAAGTTGGGTTATCGGGTTTCAGGTTGAGAGATTAGGGTTTAGGCCCTAAAGCGAGGCGGGCATGTACAAGTCTGTATCATCCCCGGCATTCCGGAACCGGCATGTATATGTGTGTGTGTGTGTGATCACACGCAGATCTATGCATACTAAGACGACTTGCAAACCTGCTCTTACCTGACACTTCTCTCTGTCTTGCTCTCCCGAACATCATCTTTCTCTTTATGTCGAAAGGCACAGCGTGCACACCAAGCTGCACACATACATGCCCTTGCTTCCATCCACCCATGCTTCCTTCCCTCCATCCAGCCTTCCATCCAACCGCCCATACCTATGGGCGTGTGCGCAAGTATGCATGTACGTAGGTACAACCCATGCATTATGCTGCTATAACTGTGCCTTCACGTGGGTGGTTGTCAAAATTAGGGTCCCTTTTTGGGTCCTTATTATAATACGGCACCTATTATTTAGGGTACCCCAAAAGGGACCATAATTTTGACAACCACCCACATGCTTCTGGAGCCCAGGAACATGCAGGAGCTGTATTCTGAGCTTCAACGCGACCTGGTGGGACTTCGCGCCGGGCAGGCCAGCATGCTGAAGTAGATTTATTGAGGCTGGGTTTGGTTTGGTTTTCACTGTTTAGGGTTCAGGGTTTAGGGTTTAGGGTTTAGGGTTTAGGCACCCCGCAGTTTGCTAGCACTTTTGGCCTGGTATTCCCAACCTGCCAGTGGCAGAACCTCTGCACTGCACTCCCAAGGCCCTAGTTCCAAACCTGAACCTTGGTTGAGTTCAACCACCTACTGTAGGGGCCTAAATAACTACCAATACTGTTTTGGGGGTTCCTTAGTATACTGGCCACCACTTTGAGGGATT